ACACCCCAGCAAGAGTTCATGATATGTGTAATTACCCAAAGAGAGGAGGCTAGCAGCATCATTTGCTGGCTAATAGTTCAGAGGGTTTGTTGATGTTTGGGGGTTTAATCATCATATTTCCTAACAGATGATACAAAAAACTATGTCAGGCCTAATAAACCTTGTCAATAATAGGAAAAAAGTGTTTTTTTAAGTAAAGTAGAATCTAATGTTTTGTGTTTGTCCCTTTAAAGACCTTTCTGCTCTTTAAGCTGGGTGTCTGATCTCTCACTGTTGATGCAGCTGAGGCACATTGAAGTGCCTGAATTGGCTGCCAGCTTAAGTTTACGTGGGTTGGAGGGACTAAATCATCCATTTGCTACTGCTTTGTTTTTTTGAACCCAGGGCAGCAAGCAAATAAATCCCTGTCATTCCAGAATCATCTGTTCGTTGTTTATTTACTCACATTTAACTTTCTCCTGCTGTCTTAAAGCAGAGGAACATCACAGCAGGAGCCACTGCTTTAACAAGCATGCTCCCTTTTTTACATAAATGCACAAACCTAATGTCTGCCCCTGAAGAGTATTTGCATTAAAAAAACAACAACATTTTTTTTTTTTTTGTTGTACTTGCTAATAAAAGAAGATCTGAGCATACTGCAGAGCAATAAACATTTCAGGATTGAAAAATACAGTGTCTGTATAATTGGCCCCTAAATGTCTGTAAAAAGACTCCCAACTTCTAGAGTACTGTCGAAGAAACGTTGCTGGAACAACCATTGCAATTAATATTCAGGGCTTTGCAAAAGTATCAACACTAATATGTTCTAGCATTCTGTAATTTTACAATCGCAAACCTTCTTGGGGTTTTATAATATTGTTAGTAACAAAAAGAGTTTAGATTTATTTAATGGGGGGAAATTGTAACAAAGTTTTTAAATGCTTATGATAAATATATGAAAAGTCTGAACAATGTTAATGGTCATTTGCCTCATTGGTTCATTAATTTGCAGAATCAACTACCAGCTTTGCTCACCTAAAGACAAAAATGTTTACCCATTTTTATTTTCTTTTTTGTAAAAAAAAAAAAAGCTCTGGGTCAGTAAGATTGAATGAAGCATTTATTTTCAGCTTCCACAACAGATTATCAAACACATTTAGGTCTGGCTTTTGACTTGTCCATTTTTTACAAGAATATCCTTTGATCTAACCAACCCCATTTAGCTCTGCCTGAGAGTTAAGGCTTTTATTTCTAACCTATTCCAGAGTACTTAGGCCCCGTCCACACGAAGCCGAACCCTGGCCTAAACGCACAAATTTTTTACCAAACCAGCCTCTCATCCATACGAAGCCGGCGTTTCGGGGGTCTGTAAATGATCTTTTTTTTATTCAGCCTTCAGAGTGGGAAGATTTTGAAACGCCGTTTTCGCGTTTCCATCTTTAAGCTCTAACCGCATTTTTTCTTTTCACACGCATGCGTCATAGCGTCGCCTCTAAACACGCATGCCGACACAGTATCACAACAACAATGGCGGCATACTGTGTTGAATGGTTGCTGCTAATGCTACTCACCCTGCTGTCGGGCTTACAACAGATTCTTCTTCTTCTGGAATATCTCCAGGAAGAACAGATCAATATCGACGACATAGTTCAGCAACTGAATTTGACTGAACCACGAAAATGGTCCCGCAGGGCAACCATGTATAAATATTAGTGCGCATGCCCAACATTTCGTCGCCTATTTTTGCTTTGGCACCACAGCGCCACTTACAGGCCTGGCATACATTTTGCAGCGTTTTCATGCATTCGTGTGGTCGATCACATTTATTTTACGTCTCCGTCTTTACGACAAAGCGTTTCGTGTTCGTTTTGACTTCGTGTGGACGGGGCCTTAACAGTTTGTAGTTGTTTTTCTATTTTTCCACAATTGCAATCTATTTTGCTCCTTCTTTACTATCGACACTGCCCAGTTTCTCTTCTTGGCTGGAAAAAAGTACCTCCACAGTACCATACTGCCACCGCCGTGTTTCACAGTAGAGATAGTGAGTTTGTGGGTATGTGCTGTAGGTTTGGTCTCATCTGATTATATAATTTTCTTCCACGTTTGTTTTGTCCCAATTGATGCTGGTGAGAATTTTTAATCTAGATGTCGTTCAGCATTGATTTTTTGTCCCTGTTTTTCTCTCACGAAGACCAGAGGTTTAAAGTTCGTCACTAAAAGCTGTCCTGTCAACCCACTCTTCCACTTGAACTGCAGATCTCTGCAGCTCCTAAACAGCTACTGCAGCCTATTTGCTTCTTCTCTTACGCTCCCCTAGACGTGTTTCCATCATCATCTTTTTTCATTTTGAAGAGTCACATTAGAAAAGCTTGATGGAAACAGGATCATTTGATCAACCGAGTAAAATTTGCAAAAATGTTTTTGCACTTGTTGAAGTTATAACATCAGAAACGACAACCTATGATGACATTGCACTTAACATTGACTGGTTAAGGAAAAGTCAGGAATAACCAATGGGTCATTATTTATACCTGAAACTAATATGTTTGCAGTGATTTAATGAATTTAGCATTAAAAAAGCGTTAAAAAGTAAAAAAAAAAACATATTTTCCGTCGTGATCACTTAGTCACTGGCCATTTTTGCCCAAATATAGTGTCACGGCGCATTAAGCCTAGCACCATTCTCCCCGCTTTACAAGCAAAGTAATTGGGAACTACTAGACATATCTGCAATCAACAACAATTATTTAAGATTTTGAGAGGACTTCACTATTGAAATTCATGAGAGCTATAGTTAAACTGACAATGCCCACATGCATGGCAGTTGGATGTAATACATCGGGTGAAAGAGAATTTTCTTTTTAATTATTTCACCTTTCCGATTCATGATCCTCCACGGGTTCGTCGTTGGATTACCAACTTGAAGAGGGAGGATTTGCCATCGAACTTCTGTTTCACATGGTCACTGGTCATCACCATCATGGCACGTTGCGAAAAAACACCAGATACAGCATTGGGAATTCCTCAACAGCCGATACCGCACCGTGATGTCACAAACAAGTAGGTGGCATTTGTATTCTTTGACAAACATGGATGCCTCTAGTAAAGCACATTCAAATGAAATTACTCTTAATCAAAAACACTTATAATTTATTGAAAAGTATGTAATCATTTCATAGTTAAAGTACTTTCAGAAGTTTGTACTCTGAATGCGACTGAACTTTTCCTTTAAGATGCTTCAATGAATGGAAATATGTCCAATTCAAATTTCTTTATTTTTGACATGTCAAAGGTTTGATTAAAATCCATTTAAGACTTAGATGGAATTGTATATACTGTTACCCATAGTTATGGTGACACACAACACCGTTGGTTTGAAGATGTCATACCCTTCTCACGTATAGATGTACATCTACTAAATACACGCACACAGTTGGGAAGTAATAGCCTAGTGGTTAGAGCAGTGCGGTTTTGTTCTGAGAAGGTTGGAAGTAACCAGTTGATCCCTACAGACTCCCTCTCTGTGTCCCTGAGCAAGACCCTTCACCCCACACTGCTCTCCAGGCTCCGCACAATGGCAGCCCACTGCTCCCAAAAGGTATGGGTTTAATGCAGAGAGTAAAATTTGTTGCTTTGTACTTGACAGTGTAATGACAGTACATTTTAATTCTATTCTTCTTCTATTCTATTCCACAGGTAGACCAAATTCATTAATATGAGGTAGATTTGTTGCACTTGATTAAACACATTCATCCCTGGATTCAAGCAACAATGACAAGGAAGTTGAAGAATTTCAGGTACATTTTTATTGCACCAAGTCTACTGGTAAATGTGCAGAAGTAGCAGACATATTGTTGGAAAACAGAGGTTTCCAGGAAGGAGGTGAGTCAATCTACTGAGTTGGGTAAGTTGTTGTACAGGATTCTGGTTGGTAACAATTCCTGTCTTTCTTTCCAAGAAGTAGGCAGAGGCAGCACAGAGTGATTTAGGGATGGACATACAGGTAAGTGATGATGGTGGTTTAGAAAAAGTGCTGAGACCTTTGATTCAGAGACGAAACCAGAGGAGCAGTGAGGTTCCTGAGCTGAATAATAAATAACCATGAGCCTCAGAAATGACAAGGTGGAGGCAGAGAGTCGCTGATCAAGAACCAATTAATGGCTGTTCTGGAGGGAGGACAATGAGAAGGTAAATTGTAAAACACACAAAAAATTGAATTCATAAGCTCAGTTGACGAAGGAGAACAATCTGGCATCTGCTGCAGGGGATCTGCGCCTCTATAAGCTGCTCCTGATTGGACCATGATGAGCTTCAGCTGTGGGAACTCACCTGCCAGTCGCTGATGAAGGTTCTCAGTCATCCAGGTCATAGTCATTCCGTAAAAACATGCAATGGCATTCCGCCATTGCATGTTTCCAAGCGATACAAGGCGTTGTCTATATAAGACTCAAACTCACTGCGGATCCAGACATTTGAATTGAGAAAGCTTCCTGGAGAGGTAGCGAAACGTCTTCAAATCTTGAAAACCAAGTCCAGTGGATATTTTTTTTAATTTTTACGGAATCACCTGCCAGTCATCCTGCAATTAGGAAGGCAGGTTATGCACACAGCACTGACTGGATATATGTTTTTCTCCAATGTTTTGGTTAATTTTGAAGTTTTGGAAAACTACTTTTGCTTCTTTATTTCTGAAGCCTTTTCATACTCAGACATGCAAATATAATTCTGCTAAATGAGGCACTGATAACATCCTCTGGACCCAAACAGATGTGAAAGATTGAAATGCATGAATGCAGTGATCATGGCTATTGAGCTAAATATAGATGTTTTATTCTTTCTAACCTAATCCTTATCATTTCTATCTCAGTCTGAAAGAAAACAGTGCATTTTAATATATGTAACACTTTTTATTTTCTACAGCCATATATACATATACAAGTTTTCATGGGATTCCTGCAGGATCTGCAGCAGAAGAATGACTCTTGACCTGAAAGCAGCCAGCTCCTCCCATCCAGTTATAATAGCGCGCTGACCTGTTGCTCCATTCATCCTAAAGCAACGCAAACTAACTGGTGAAGGCTTGGATGTCTCTCTTGCAAGCTCTTATCTGTGGTTCTCAGTCCCAGATGGAAATGTAGATGCAGCCGGTCTGTTTGGTGTGCGGTGTGGAGCGACTCTGACGAGGATAAAGGAGGCACTGGTAACTTTGAATCATGACTTTTGCCATGCTGCGGCCCGTGGCGACCCACTTGATCTACTCGGACTTCATGATCACCTCTGAGGACGACGAGAACCGCAGCGAGAGCGACGGCAGCTCGGAGCAGAGCTACTGCGGCTCGATGGAGAAACGGAGGCGAATCTCCCGTAAGCTGGAGGGAGACTCCGCGGTGGTGATGAAGCAGCGGAGCGCCGCCAACGCGCGGGAGAGGGGTCGGACCCAAAGCGTCAACACGGCGTTCACCGCACTCCGGACTCTCATTCCCACAGAGCCGGTGGACAGAAAGCTCTCCAAGATAGAAACGCTTCGACTCGCCTCCAGCTACATCTCCCACCTGGCCAACGTGCTGCTAATCGGAGACGCCGGCGCGGAGGGACAGCCGTGCCTCGGTGCGGTCCATGCGCAGGGCGAGAGCGCAGGGAAGCAGCCGCGCACCATCTGCACCTTCTGTTTGAGCAACCAGAGGAGAGGGGTAAATGCTTTTTATGGAAATCCTATATGAAAACCCTTTTGATACAACACAGCATCAGATGATAAAATCAGAATGCTTTCTGCACAGTTTTGGGCCTTATTAGGCTGCCAGTGCAGATAGATCTTGGCATAGTTTTTTATTTTATTTTGTACTTTTAGGTTTTGCTCGTTCAGTCGAAATAATATGAATCAAAATAAAAATCAAAGCTGCATTCTTACTGATAGTTGAAGTTTTCATTAAACAAGGGGCACAGGATGCACACTTTGTGCAGAACATTCTGCAGCCATTATTCAGAAATAAATAATTTTGGCCCAAATATAATTCTGCTCATGAGTTGCTAACAAGTTTAATCTGCAGATAAACTGATTTCAACCTGTAAAAATCCACAGAATAAAGAAACAAGCCCAGCATCTTCTCCTTGGCTGTCAGACTTAAAAAAATGTTGTTTCAATCTATTTTTTCTACTTTTTTGTTAATTTCCTTTTGAAGTATTAATATATATTTATTGAGAAAATTTTTCTCAACTTCAGAGGAAATGTGCTGCTTTCAATTTTATTTTTATTTATTTTTACTTTCAACAGACTAAACTCTGGAGGGTCTTGGAATCAAACAGCAAATAAAAATTATTAAAATTATTCCCTATCTTATGCACCAAAGTTTACGTCCCTAAACTTTTTCATTTACTCATCTAATATGTTCTGATTGTTGATGCATTTATAGACCAAATGTAATAAAGGGGGTGTTGGATAATTTGACCTTAAATGTGTTGATCTTTGATCGGGTTCAATTAGTAAAAGACTCCCATTAGTTCACTTTTCTTTATCACTTGTTAATTATATTAAGTGATGCATTTTTTTCTTTTTCTCTGCATCGCATGCTCTTGTTTTTCTGAATGTGTTGCTAATCATAGTGCCTTAATTTGCCCCTTAGGGATTAATAAAGTGATTTGAATTGAACTGAACTGAATTGAATGCTGGACACCAGGGCTCTTTTTTTATTGCTACACATCCGCTGCACCAGCCTGAAAAATACGTTAAACGGATGGCTTAAATATATTTTTTTAACATGCACTTATTTATATGGTGTGACAGAAAACACCTCCAAATTGCATCGGTGTAAAAGAACTATAACTTTTGAGGAGGGTGAGGGCTGATATTCAGTGCTGCTTTTTTCTGATCTATTTTAATTTTCTATATTAAGTTACTAATGCACTTTTTAATTCTTTTTCAGATTAAAGATGGGAAAGACTGTTTGAAAATGCGTGGACTGGGTCCACTGCGAGTGAGGCGTTGACCGGAAACCATCAGTGAACTGTTTGCAACCTGAAAACCCTCAAAGACTTTCTCAGGGAAAGAACTGAAGCTGGTGCAACACAGAGCGCCCACCCGTGTACCTGTACACACATGCTGGATCCAAAGGTGGCACCAAAGAAAAGACTATTTATACTTGACTGAGACATCCCAGACTGTAAGATGTTCAAAGATGCAGTGCATTTGTTGGAAACTTAATGGTCTTTTTTTTTTATTTGAAAGATGTTTTAAATAAAATATATTTTATCAAAATGTAAGGCATTTTTACCATTTTATTGCACCGTTTCAGTAAAGATGCATGTGTCACACATTAAGGTTATTTAGTCCTTGATGTAAAGTGTTGGAAAATCTGTCTTTTAGTGCAGCAGGCTTTTTTGTTTACTTAATATCTAGTAAACAAACATCTTAATATTCTCTGTCACCATTTTGCATGAATATTAAATCTATTCTGCGCTCCCCCCCCAATCTTCATGTTATAATGGTTTCAGCCAACATGTTGTGAGGAAACTGCTGAAGCTTACAGCAAAAAGTTCAGGGTCTCTGGTGTCACTGGCTGCTGTTTTTTTTCACCCCCTTCAAAACTCAGCATTCAGTGTTTTTTTTTAAGTCTGTTTCCGATTAGTCACGGCAAATAGTAGCCCACACTCTGCTCAGAGCCCCAACACAGCTGTTGGTGTGTCAGAGGGATAAATCACCGCTGTGGGCCCACTGGACAAGACGAGATGGGGTGAGAGGTGAGAGGTCGCAGCTCTGAAGTGAAGTGAAACGTAATGATGGCAAATGATGCAGTTAGACTTGCCCCTTTTTCATCTGTTTTCTTGTTAGTGGTTTATTTCACATCAGGAAACTATACAGATTGAGCCTGCTGTTTGTTCTAATAGGGAGGGTCTGGATCTGCAGATCGACGTCAATACAAACAACTTTCCCTTGAAGCTAGTGAAAGCCGCCAAGTTTCTTTGGGCTTTTCTCTGCTTCCTCTGGATCCTGAGAAGGTGTTCTACCATGCAACCTGCAGCTCAAACACTCAGACAGCAGAGCCAGAGTTCCTGTCTGGCATCACTTAGAGTGAGTCTGCAGATTTAGAAGATGCAGACTCCCCAGTGGCTTAGGAGGCTGAATGGAAAGGTAATTTTCAGGCAGGTAAAGGTGCAGGCTTCCGTCAGTCTCCGTCTACATCTTGTCCCCATCGGGATAAGTCAAATTCATCCTCCATGTTCAGAGACTGAGGCCTCCCTAAATGGCTCCCTGAGGCTCCCCAGACAGGAAGATGTCACGTAGGCAGAGGAAGGGGGAAAATAGTGCACAGCCGGCGTCTCTGAGGATCTCTCTGTGCGGTGGGCTTTGGGTCATCGCCAGTCCTGAGATCATCCGGCACTGGGACCCAGATGTACAGCACTCTGTTGCAGAGCAAGCAACCCAAAAGATGAGTCTTAAACAAAATCTAAACGATTTTTTAAAAAACAAGTTGGCAGATACATGGGAAAGACAGTGCAGAAGAAATGAGTTAAATCAAAGGTGGATAGAAAGCAGACATGATCAGTGTGGGTCTGGTTAACATGTCTGACAAGCAAAGGCCCAAAGGACCCATCTGGGAACTCAAGTTTACCTCATCACTGAGTTTCTCCTCTTTAACTGATGCCCATCTTTTTTAAGTCCCAAAGCAGATTTTTATGCTTTGGATGTTGTTGTTGGAAAGGATTCTCTAGACAGTAAATAAATCCGATCTTTGTGCTAAAAAAAAAATGAATAGTTCAAAACTATATATATAAAAAAAATGATAAAAAAAATACTTGGACACATTCTAGTTGTAGCTGTTGTGTTTGGTTGTGTTTGGTAAAGAACGCAAAAGAATAGGAAGAAATTACTGATTACTTTTTTAAATTTAATCAGTGAATTTATAAGTAATAGACTGAATTTAGTGACTGAATTATTTAAAAGATTCCACAGAAAAACATAGATCTCAAGATTAGGATCAGTGTTAGACAATTTTTGTTTGAGCTTTCATTCTTAGCAAGAAAAAAGGAGACAGAACCAGATGTGTGCTGCAGTCAGGGAAATTTGGCATGAGAAATATTCCCTAAATAAATCATCAACTAAATGCAAATTATGTTATGATATTCTGTTGCTAGAATAAAATGATCACTGCTAAGATGTCTGGTTGGCAGTATGTGTTTCCATCCTCGTACACATGAACACCTCACTTTTAGTCGTTATTGCACCAAGCATATAATTGTTCTGTTTTCAACATGTATTCTTTAAAAAACATAAAATAGCTGTTCAGGGCTTTGGACTGTCTCCCTAAGCAAGACCCCACACTGCTCCCTGATGCCGCACAATGGCAGCTCACTGCTGCCAAAAGGGATTGGTTAAATGCAGAGAGTGAATTTCATTGCTTTGTACTTGTGACAGTGTAATGACAATTAATGTGAATTTTATTCTTCTTCTTCGATTCTATTCCACAGGTAGACCAAATTCATTAATATGAGGTAGATTTGTTGCACTTGATTACACACATTCATCCCTGGATTCAAGTAACAATGACAAGGAAGTTGAAGAGTTTCAGGAACATTTTTATTGCAGCAAGTCTTCTGGTAAATGTGCAGAAGTAGGAGACATATTGTCGAAAGGCAGATTTTTCCAGGAAGGAGGTGAGTCAATCTACTGAGTTGGGTAAGTTGTTGTGCGGGGTTCGGTTTGGTAACGATTCCTATCTTTCTTTCCAAGAAGTAGGCAGAGGCAGACAGAGTGATTTAGGGATGGACATGCAGGTAAGTGATGATGATGATGGTGATTTAGTAAAAGTGCTGAGACTTTTGATTCAGAGACAAAACCAGAGGAGCAGTGAGGTTCCTGAGCTGAATACTAAATAACCATGAGCCTCAGAAATGACAAGGTGGAGGCAGAGAGTCGCTGATCAAGAACCAATTAATGGCTGTTCTGGAGGGAGGACAATGAGAAGGTAAATTGTAAAACACAAAAAACTGGAATTCATAAGCTCACTGCGAGGCCTGATTGCCACTTGAAGAAGGAGAACAATCTGGCATCTGCCACAGGGGATCTGCGCCTCTATAAACTGCTCCTGATTGGACCATGATGAGCTTCAGCTGTGGGAACCCACCTGCCAGTCACCCTGCAAGTAAGAAGGCAGGGTATGCACACAGCACTGACTGGATATATATGTTTTTCTCCAATGAATTGGTTAATTTTGAAGTTTTGGAAAACTACTGTTGCTTCTTTATTTGTGAAGCCCTTTCATGCTCAGACATGCAAATATTATTCTGCTAAACGAGGCACTGATAAGATCCTCTGGACCCAAACAGATGTGAAAGATCGAAATGCATGAATGCAGCGATCATGGCTATTCCACTAAATATAGATGTTTTATTCTTTCTAGCCTAATAGAAAGAAGAAACATTGCATATTATATACATATACTAGATAGATATTTTAACCCTTTTATTTTCTACAGCCATATTTTATATTTTTTGATATGAACACCTGAGAGATAAAAAAAACGTGTTTTCATGGGATTCCTGCAAATCTGCAGCAGGAGAATGACGCTTGACTCCAAAGCAGCCAGCTCCTCCTATCCAGTTATAATAGCGCGCTGACCTGTTGCTCCATCCATCCTAAAGCAACACAAACTAACTGGTGAAGGCTTGGATGTCTCTCTTGCAAGCTCTTATCTGTGGTTATCAGTCCCAGATGGAAATGTAGATGCAGCCGGTCTGTTTGATGTGCGGTGTGCAGCGACTCTGAAGTTGTATACTTTTTGTAATTTCTTCAGGCATGCCTCATTACTTCACAACTTTGAAGTTGTCCAGCCTACCAAAGTTAAAAAAAGAAAAAAAAAAAAAAAAAAACTCCCATTTCTGTAAATTTTACACACAAACAACATTATATCTAAGTTACTCAATTCAATTCAGTTTTATATGGCACCAATTCACAACACGTCAACTCAAGGCACTTTATAGTTCACCAAATCATACAGTCAAATTTATTCAAAGTTTTCTATTTAAGGAAAACTAGTTGATTGCATCAACTCACTGACTCAAAGGCAACCCCTCACACCAAGAATGCTTGTAGCGACAGTAGAAAGGAAAAACTCCCTTTTAACATGAAGAAACTTCCAGCAGGAACAATTAAATTCTCAACAACTATACAATGATGTTTTTTCCTGAGACAGTGAACATTTCTGCTTAATCTCAGGCCAGTAGATGAGGACAGTTAATTTTTACTCTTTCATCAAAAAAGTTAAGAAAGTACTTCAAGTCTTTATTTCAGAGGTAAAAACTGGGTATTTGTATTGTGTCAGTAAAGTGCCTTGAAATGAAATGTGTTGTGATTAATGATAAACGGAAATAAACTGAAGTGAAAAACAAGCTAAAAATATTTTAACACCAGGATTGAATGATGTCATTATAAATTGGCTTTTAAAAAACCTTTGTTGAAATAGTCAAATTCATATATTTTACTATTCTAAGTGCCTCTGTTTTCTGAAATACTTTGAGTGATTTTTTTTTTTGTTTTATTTTATTCCAACAGTTGGAACTATTCTGTCTTTAAGGGAATGAAGTAACCCATCACAGTTTTCATGTTCCTGAAGCCATAAGCTGAAAAGCCTTTCTTGTCATGCTAATGCACAGAACAGGAAGCAGTTGTATTTCATTAAGGAAGGACGGTTTGATGAATCGTGTTGAGCAACGGCTGCTTGCAAACACCTTCACAGATGAAACACAAATCACAGCTCAGACAGCTCAGAGCCGTCCTGTTCATTTCTCCCCGAGAGCAGGAAAGAAGTGAAGAAAAACTAGATGAACCAGAAACAGGAAGGATGTAAAGCGTTTTTTGTTGTTGTTTTTTTTTCAGCATCATCTGGGAACGCTGTCCTGATTCCCAGATCGGTGCTTGTCCTCAGCATTTTGTAACTCTTGCCAAGGAGGTCTTGTTACAAAAACCTTGCACATGGTAATATTTTAATAGCTTCTGCTCTTACAGTCCATTTCAGCATAAGATGGCCCAGGACGTCAGACATATTGATGGTTCTGTGTCACTTTGCAGCTTAAGGCTAAGGCGCCTCCTTTCCTATTTCACTGAACACAGGCACTTTTCCATGCGGAGGAGGAAGTCTGTATGCCTGACCATCAGCTGAGCTTCTGTAGGGGAGAAAAGCCGTCCGAGAAGCCGGTTGTGTCTCCTCAGACATGCAAGAACAATTGTTTTTATGTGCCAAAGAGTTTGGCAGGCCCTTCAGACA